CGTCTTGGGGGGGGCCAACATTCATCCCGGGGTTCGTCGATCTCGACTTCGCCGTGAACCGAAGACAAATGAAGAGACCGTTCGTAGGCACCATTCATGTTTATATGATATGATAAGGAAGGTAGCTAGCTTAGCTTATCGATTATATTACAAGAGTCGGAGGCGGCTTGATGCCGCTCCTTGCTAAAAGTTTCATCCTTTGACTTCACTCAGGACACAATTTGAGGAGGTATGAGGTGTTATCATTCGATTTAGATGTTAGGAAGTTATGAGATGAGTCATGAGTTGGGCAAACTCTTGCTTCTGTCTCATCCCCGCTCCTCGCAATGAGCGACAACGACGATCTTTCGGATTGAGCGATGGCCATCGCCTATAGAACAATGTCTAACCTTCTCGGATCCTGGGCGATTAAATCGACAACTTCGTCGACACTAACCGGTACATCGCGCTGCAGAGTCATCGAAGCCAATCCATTGAGTCGTTCATGCCCCATCGTAGATCGAAGATAAGTTTTGAGCAGCTTCAGGGAGCTGAAGGTTCTCTCGGGTGTTGATGTCGTCACGGGGAATGTGGCAAATATCTGGAGGAGGGTCGCGATCTTCGGATATTCGATCCTTGGACAAAAGCTGAGTGCTTCGATTGCGGTTTCTGGAAGCTCGTTCCCAGCCTTCCTGCCCCACTTCGCCTTCCAGCATTCAAACTCCCCTCTGAGAACGCTGGCACTGCAGTCTAAGTCGGTCTGATAGAAGTCCAGCGTTTCAATGAGATCGGCGAAAGTGCTACTGACGGTATACTTCGGTACAAGGCATTGGACTTTCATTGCCTTTTGCCGAGAATCGGCGAACAGCGAACGAAGCTCCTGGATCAAATGGTCAAGATACTGAACGTACATAGTCACCCGGAAATAAGCTTCGGGTGTCTCCGCCTGATGATTTTCCCTGTGCATTTGTCTACCGCTAATGCGAGGCATTTTGATCTCGACATCCAGCAGAGCGCAGATCTCTGTGACTTCATCGTAGATTATCTTGAACTCGGTCTCAACATTTTGACGCTTAAGCTCAAGAATGGATAAGATGTTGTCGACCATCCTGAGAGCGGCAAAAATATCGAGGCTTTTTTTCTGTAATTGCATAGACAACGGGAGAAAAATGCACGAGAAGCTCTCAATGGTGAGTAGAGCGAACACGAAGTCGCATTTGCAGACGGAGCTCTCTAGTTCGTATGCTCGCACGCCAGTTTCTCCCGTGACTTGTCCGAGCTCAACCAAACAGTGGAAGAGGGGGACTAGAAGCTCTCTGAAAGTAATGAAGGCGTGGTGCGATTCGACCCAACGAGTGGGGCACAGAGCTTTGAGCCGTGTTTTGGACGACGTGGGTGCGTGGGCATCTATCTTATCCATCAGGCATTGGTGTCGCTTCGTAGACTTACAGAAGAAGTTACAAACGCTCTTGACGACACCAGCGGCCAGTTTGATAGGGACAATTTCGGCGGAATGGACGAGCGCGAGGCTGAGGCAATGACTGGCGCAGTGAAAGTACAGGGCTTGAGGCACCACGGCCTTAATTTCTGCTTGGACACCATTTCCAGCTCCTTTCATCGAAGCACAACCGTCATATCCTTGACCTCTGATATTTCTCACGTCGACTCCTTCCTCTTCCAAAGCATCCAAGATGGTACGCGCTAGCGCGGCTCCGGTTTTCTGAGCTACGGCGCAGAACTTCAGAAAAACTTCCTTGACGACAGGCTTGCTGGCTGAGGTCGATATGTAACGCAGGCAAATCGTCAACTGATCGATCCTACCGGCGTCTGATGTCTCATCCGCGAGCACGGCGTAGAACTTAGAATCATTGACCTCCCGTACTATCTTTCTTCGGATGATCTTTCCTATTGCCGCTATGAGCTCATTTTGGAATTTATTGCTCATGTATGTCGCGTTTCGTTTGAGATTGTTCAGATGCTCTTCAAGGAGAGAGTCTCCACAATCAAGACGAAATCTCAAGAGCGCACGGAAATTTCCGTCGTTCGCGTTTTCTCCGCCCGAATCGAGAAGTCCGTTGTCTCTGTCGTCCCCTCAGGGTATATTCTGTCTACCACACACAGTATCGTTTTCACGATGGGTATCAATCTCTGGCGGTTCTTCACAACTTGCTCTTCTCGGGCTTTCACTAAACGATTTCTGATATCGAGATTGACTCGGTCTCCATGCCACTCAAGAAAGTCATTCGCGCTCTCACTGGCTCTGCGATGATACTCACTGAGAGCGTGATTCTTGAGAATGTCGACTGCTTTCTTGAACCTGTTCAGCGGCTGAGTGATGAGTACACCTCGCTTTCTGAGACCCCCGTGGCTCGAAGATTCTGTTTTCGCAAAAAGACGCAATGCTTACAGAAACCTCACCCCAAACATCTCACTGTATGCCAACCAAGGCCACAGACTGAGATAGTGGTATTGGAGCGCTCGAGAGCGATTCGACTCTATCGTTTTAGGGAAAGCATACTCTTTGTCCGGCTCCCAACAGTGTGTCAGAGCCTCAAATCGCTCCTCGTCTGTCAGGGAATGGTCGCAACTTCCATTGCTTGTCACGAATTTCCCTATATCCATGGGGTTGAGAGCGACTCTCTGTCGCCTCGCCGACGGTGATGACACGGTCACTTCGTCTCCCAGCGTTGTCGCGTCTGGAGCAGATTCTTCCTCATTCAGCGCAACTCCGGATGGTACTGATACTGATGCGAAGTGATCTGTGATGTTCCGAGCTTCGGTCAATTCATTTGTAGAAGAATCGGGTGGAGTCTCGATGCTTTCACTGTTCTTTCTCGAGAAAAAAATTGTGAGCTTACTTTGCCCAGCCATTATCTCTGCTTGGCGATCCTTCGTCGCTGGATTCACAGTCACTTATCAGAAACAGAGAAATTAGGTCATGGTCATTCGCTCCCGCCTCTAGAGAGAAAAATCATTCCTCTTCGAAATCAGTCGACACCAGCAGCTGCGCGGAGAGTCAAGCGCCACAGGTCTCGATGGATGGTGGATACATCCGTCTACACATACGCGTATATGTACACGCAAAACATTCGAATCCTTTCCCACGCCTCCACTCAAACCATGTGGACCTGAAAATCTTGGGGGGGGCCATGGCCCCTTGGCCCCCCCCTTGCGCACGCCACTGGTAGGGGGTCCCCCATACCATCTATATATTCCGATTCGTATCGACGATTTGGATGGTCGGTTCGGTCGACCACCAAATGTGATCCAAGGTGGAAGCGGCGCCAAGTGCCCGATCCCCGCGGACGCTCTTTGGGATCGTTCATCACAAAGAGGACTTACCGCAGCCTATCTGAAAGTTGCGATCGGACAATGCGAGATCGCCGCTTTCCAAAGTCGACGAGATCGATGCTAACCCGGAGGCACGAGCGGAGACCCGAAGTACGGCAGAGAAATCTCTTCGAGAAGCAATAAAAAACGGAATATCACTCAGGGATCCGAGATCGCGAGATGAGAACGCGGACCGTCGAGATGGGGCCGTAGGGGTCCCGGTTGGTCACAACTCGCGGTGCGGGAAACTGTCGACAAATTTCTTACGGAATAGATTGTTCCCTGTGAGAAAGCGCAAGCAAACGTTTCCGAATCCACGGATCATGGTGCCGGGATTTGTCATGGAAATCCTCTCCCTAAAGCCTGCTGGACTATCGACCCGAGATATTGCATAATGGCCGCAAAACAGAAACGCGGAAACGGTGCATGGGTCAAATAGCTCAAGGCGGTCAGTTGATTTTCTCCCCTCATCTCAATCTGCCTCGGAGGCTTTGCGCGGTTCCGGAATGAAAAACATTCCGCAATAATAACGAAGCCGCTCGAAGTTCTTTCGGAGGGCATGCGATCGAACAATGCGAGATCGCCGTTTTCGAAAGTCGACGAGATAGGTGCCAACCCGGAGGCACGAACGGAGACCCGAAGTGCGGTAGAGAAATCTCTTCGGGAAGCATTAAAAAATGGAATATCACTCAGGGATCCGAGATCGCGAGATGAGAATGCTGACCGTCGAGATGGAGCCGTATTCTCCGATCGGGAAAACCGAGATCGAGTGGCCACCGGTGCACCTCAAACCAACGACGGAGGACTCGTAGATCGCCTCTTGGAGGCGAAAGATGAGCCGACGGCCGACCCGAGAGCTCGAGAACCCCCGAAGAAATCTTGGTTTGGCAGTGAAGACGAAGACAAGAATAAAGACAGGGGATTCTTCGAAGCAATGAGGGGTAAACAATCTGGATCAGAGGAGAAGAAGGAACCAGGAATGTTCGACAAGATGCTCGGGCGAAACGAAAAGCCGGAGCAGGAGGGAAAGCCGGGCATGATGAAGAAGATGTTCGGGAGAGACGAGAGTCAGGGAGCGGTGAAAGAGAAAAAACCCGGTGTGATGGACAAGATGTTTGGGAGAGACAAAAAGCGAGGAGCGAGCAAGGAGAAGAAACCCGGCATGTTTGACAACATTTTAGGTAATGACAAGAATCAGGGGGCGGTGAAAGAAAAGAAACCTGGGATGCTCGAGAAAATGTTCGGAAAAGACGAGGAACAGAGAGCGGAGAAACAGAAGAGGCCTGGAATGTTCGGCAACATGTTCGGGAAAGACAAGGAACAAGCAGTCGAAAAGGAAGACGTCAAGCCCGGCATATTTGACCGAGTATTCCGAAAGGATGAGAATCAAGAGCAAGAGGGAGAGAAAGAGCCAGGTATGTTCAATGGCCTATTCGGCAAAGACAAGAACAGAAAGACGAAAGCAGAGGTCAAGGATAGAGATGAGGTCGACGAGACGAGCGAGAAGCCAGGTATGTTCAGCAACGTTCTCGGACGCGGAGCGAAGAAGACGAGAGAAGTCTCGCCCGAGAAAGACAACAAAATAAGGCTGCCGGGTTTCCTGACTCCGGGTCAAAGTCGCCCGACGATACAAAGAACGACGGTTGTCAAAACCCCTTATGTCCGTCGCGCTCCGAAGCGCACAATGAAAACGACATGCACGATTCCGTTTCTGATGCTCGTCTTGCTGGCAGCCTACCTTCGATACGAGTACCTGGAAGCCAGAGAAAATTCTCTCGACTCCGGAATGAGCGGCGGAATGGTCGCCGAATATCTCGACTACGCTTTCCCTACCCAGAGCGATTGGTGCGGTCATCCCGTCAGGAAGCCCAAGTCCCCCCGAGTGGAAACCGCGCCTCTCGGAGTACTGATTGTGACGAACACAACCGCTTTGGCGGGAGTCGGGGAGGATTACGATAAACTGATAAAGATCTTCCCGGAAATGGTAGTGGCCAAAGAGTCAAAAGATTCAGGTCGAACCGCTCTCTTACTCTGCCTCTCCGAGCCCGTTTTCATCCTGCTGATTGATCTGAAAAGTAACTTGGTCAGACTGAAAACGATTGATGGGCCTTGTAAAGCAACGTGAGTCATTTGCATTCTTCAGGCATGCATTAAGACCGTCATATGGACGTCAGTCCGAGCCATATATCTGCTCTACGGAAGCTTCTAGAAGATTCTCTCGAGGAGTTTCCTAGACCGTGAATTGGAAAGATAGTCCTCATTAGAAAATCTCCCTGTAGATCAGAATTCCGGAACGCCGTTGAAACGAAGCTCGACGGCACGGACGAAACGGACCTTTCATTCAAAATCGATTCAGAAGCTAGGAATGACTCAATTCCCTTCGCCCTGTCCGTCAACGTCCGTGAAATGCGAGCCGAGTTCGTGCTATGCAGCTCAGGACCCGATGGGTGCATGGATCCGGTCGACTTCCTGAAAGCCTCTTTCAAGAAACTCAATGTCAACAAAGGCATCACGGACTTGGCGTTGGTCTACTCCGATAATGCGAATACTTTCAGATCTCGCCCGAACTATGTCTGTGAAGTTAGTCAGAACCAAGTTCAGATGTGTTGGAACCCAAAGACGTACGCACCTGTTAAATGCTTCACGAAATGATTTGATTTATGCAATATACTCATTGGTTGTCGCTGTTTTCGGCTATCTCGACTTGGAGCTTGATTCAGACCTCGCGACTCGGATGAATTCCTGTTCCCCCGTCGCCAGAGCCCGTCCCTGTCAGATGAGCGCTCTTTCAAAGTCGAATCGGAGCGCAGCCGATATCGCGAGACACCGACGACCGTGGATGCGGAATTGATCCGGTTCAATGCCACAGACGAAGCACCTCGATTACGGAGGGTCACTTTATTGTCAGTCACAAAACTCCGCGCTGAATGTCTTGGGATTCCAACACATATTCTTCCCGTTATGCATCAATTTGCAATTGAGTCTTATCGACCGCATGAACTTGTTCTCATTCTCCGAGTAGAGCATTGCGACAGGTATGAGGGAGCCTCCTATGTTCAGCCTAGAAATGTTCGTACTCATTTCACCGATTGGATCGTCACACAGATCGTCGACAGCCGGCTTACACAACTGGACTGTGACTCGCGAGGCCTCTTTGTTAACTTGCACAGCGAAAAGAAAGAGGAATCCGACGTTCGTGAGGGAGAACACCATCGAATCGCTCGGCTCCATCGGGATCGCTTTCACGACGTCTTTTCGGAATCCGTCTCTGCAAGGAAGCGAGGCGAGTTCAGCGTCTCGGCCGTCGGGAGTGGGATCTGACAGATGGGAGGACGCATGGAAACATGGGAAATTGGGTTGAAGGCAACGAAAGAGCTCTAAGCCCTCGCCCTCGCTGTCTCGAAATTACAGAGAACTCACGACAGGCCGCATGGCGCATCTGTTTTAGTCAACAGGATGACCGAGTGGTTGAAGTCAACTACAATCAATAAAGTAGGTTCTGTGACACAGAGAATGAAAACGGCTCTTTCGGTCGAATTCAAACTCCGAACAATCAACTCGGGGTATAACATCATATGCTTGTGGTTGTAAGTTCCAGCCCTGGACATAGAACTCGTATTCGTCAGCAGAGGCCATAATTTGAACTTTTCGGGGGGTTCGTAGTCATTGACTATTGAAGCGCACCACTCATCTTGAGTGGTCATGGCGAACATCGGTCCTCGGTGGGAATCGACCATATCGATCACTGGAGGGTGGATAGCTTTCTGGGCCTGTCTGGAGTCGAAAACGGAGAAAGTTACCACGCAGATCAGAAGGAAAGCTCCCGCAACGCTTGATCCCAATGAGCAGGCTTTGCGATTCAACCGCCTTGCTTTCCTCCCCGCATGCTTCCGCGCATTCAGCTTTTTATTCGGAGCTGCTCTCCTCAATATCATCGTCTTCGGAGCCTGATTCTTCGGGGAAGACGGCGGCGCAAGAAACCTCTCATCGAGATTTTCCATTAGATGTGCACGGCTGGGAAGCTGTCGCGGCCAGCTCGATCATGGAGCATGGGGACCCACCCGCGAAGATCGATCCAAGGGAAACAAGCTTTGTTATCATCGAAATGTGATCCTCTCCTGCTTGCGGGCCGTTCGATCAGCAGGTGAGCTGTCTCATCGCGGAAGTTTAGAACGTGGCACAACCGAGAGGGTGCCTTACGCAAGAACAGGCTCCGCAGTTCCATAGACGCAATTTTCTGCAGTCCTTTGGACCCCGAGCGGGGAAGGTCAGAGATGCGAATGTGAAGTGGAATTTCGCAGGAAGCCCGATCACGTTTCTTCCATGGTTTCGATGGGAAAAGCGATCGCTGATCCTTCATCATCTCACTTCCATCAGGCCAGAAAAATGGAGGGAAGGATATTGAAGGATATCGGTAGTCGGAGAGATCGGACCGAGATACTTGAAGCAGCGCATACGGACAGAGGAGCTGGTCGCGTCACGCAAGAATCAGGTCAGGGAGCGCGGTTGATTAGCGTTACCCATCAAAAACTTTTATTGAC